TTCAGGACAATGTTTCTCATAAAGACTTGTAAGGAATCAGGAAAGAGGAAAGGCAAAATCAATGCTCCTCACCTCCCTGATCGCCTCTGGGGTTAGATGGTCATGAGCTCTTTTATATATGGCTGTAATTCTCATTCTTACTTATGATGTAATAAGGTAGAAACTCAATTGCTATTGTTGCTACCTTTGAAAATAACCATGAGTAAGTTCACCTCCTTCAGTACACATCCACTCTGCACGCTGCTCATATGCAAAAGTTTAAAAGTATTCACTTGGAAGACAAGGTTAGAGAAAATTGCTATGGAAGATGGATTGTTATGAAATTATAGGTGCATACCTAGGTATGTGCATACATTTCACTTAATAAATCACTAAAGTTCTTTCTATTGGGTTAGAAAAGTAGTTTTCCTTTTATATAAAACACAAAAGACAATGCACAGTGATATCCTATTGGCATTACTCTTGAGAAAGTATCTTCCCGGTGCTGGCTGATTTTCTGTGCCAACTTGACACAAGCTAGAGTCATTAGAGAGAAAGGAGCCTCAGTTGAGGAAAAGCCTCTATGAGATCCAGCTATAAAGCATTTTCTCACCTAGTGATCAATGGGGAAGGACCCAGCCCATTGTGAGTGTGGCCACTCTTGTACTGGTGGTCCTGTTTTCTTTAACAAAGCAGCCTGAGCAAGCCATGTGAAGCAAGCCAGTAAGCAGCTCCCCTCCAAGTCCTCTGCATCAGCTCCAGCTGACGGACTATGATCTGGAAGTGTAAGCCATCAAACCCTTTCCTCCCCAACTTGCTTCTTGGTCATGGTGTTTCATCACAGCAATAGAAACTTTAACTAAGACAGTAACCTTTGTTGGGTAAGTCTCCTCTATTTCCCATCCCACTCCCTGCTTCTTCTATCTCCAAACCCACATGCCTTGTTTTAGATCTGCAGGAGGCATGACATCTATGTTTCCTAGTTATCTTTGCTGGGGAAGTTGTTTCTCAACTTTCTCTGCAAACTCATAAGTCTATTCTAGAACTGAGGCTGTGAACCCTCTGTTTGTGAGTCACCTTTGCTGGGTAAGTCACTTCTTCCCCTTCCCATATCCAACCGTTTCCCATTGGGACCATCTGCATACCCAAAGGTCTAGCTCAAGATCAATGTCTAAAATAAAGATACAATTTGAAAATTTTAATATCCAACTATAAAGCACAGAGGAAAGCCTTACCAATATAAGAAATCAGACAAAAAGATAGAATATCAGGAAAGGAAGATAAAGGAGACGATCTAGACAAAATGAACAAATAATATGAAAAAATAAAAAGCATAGCAAAGGCCTCTACAGGAATCAAATCTTTGAATTATAGGCATAGAGGGGGGAGAATAATTCTAGGTCAATAGCATAGACCAGATTTTTAACAAGATCACAGGAGAAAACTTTACCCAAGTAAGGAAAGATGCACACATAAAGATACAAGAAGCAATCAGAACCCCAACTAGACAAGACCTGAAAAGAAACACAACAAAGCACATGGTAGTGATATAATACACTAAATATGCAGGAAAGGGAAAATATTGAAACTTGCAAGAGAAGGAAACACATAAGTCACCTAGAAATGAAAAATAATCAGAATAACAGCTGATTTCTGAGTGTGGAGCAATACACTTCACATACTAGAAGACTGTGCATGTCAACCAATACTCCTGTGTCCAGCAAATCTGTCTGCATAGTTGAAAGAGAAAGTCTTTACATAAAACAATCTAAAATATGATATCAAGCAAAAACTCTAAGCAGAATACTGAATGAAATACTTTTAACTGAAGAGAAGAATAAATGTAACTAGAGACTTTTAGAATGAAAACAAAGCTATAATTTATTGAAATACAAAAGACAGCTAACAACACAAAATAGCAAAAAAAAAAAAAAAAAAGACTGCAATCTACACACAACTTTCAATAACAATTCCAAATAGTAGTCACCTCAACACTCCAAGCAAAATACATAGGCTACCTATATGGTTTAGGAAAAAAAATTCAACAATCTGTTGCCTAAAAAAACATCATCTTAATATGGTGATATTTTATTTGTACTGAAATGTGATTTTATTTGTATGTTAATAAATAAAGTTGCCCGGGGGTCAGAGCTATTAGCAAGCTATAGGAAGGCAGGGCAGTGGTGGTGTATGCTTGTAATCCCAGCACTTGGTAGGCAGAGCTAGGTAAGTCTCTGTGTGTTCAGGGATACAGCCAGCATTGTATACACACACCTTTAATCTCAATACCAACCATAGAAGACCTGGAGGTCTATACAGACAGGCCGTGATGAGGTGGTCATGTGGTTGGGTTTACAACCAATGAGAAGGCAGAAAAGAAACTCTATATAAAGACTTTAACACAGGAAGTAGCTCTGGTTTGAGAGGTAGGACCACCGCAGGAGGAAGGGTAAAGTATTAGCTCTTAGCTCTGACATCTTGGCTTTCTTCTTTGCATTGGTTCTATGTTTCCTATTTAATAAGACGGTTGGTTACATCTACATCTTAATTTTAATTTTAGGCACTATCTTACAATGAAAAGATGGAAAAAGTATTCTAAGCAAATAGAATCAGGAAGAAAACAGGTATTGCCATCCTAATATCTGACTAAATAGATTTCAAACTAAAATGAATCAGAAGAAACAAAGAAAGGCACTTCATACTACTCAAAGTATTAATTAATCAAGAAAATATTACACTACTTCACATATATGCACCAAACTCTGGAGCATCTAACTTCATAAGAGTAAACTTGATAGAATTAAAGGCACAGATGAACATAAACCCAATAAAAGGAGGTGATTTCAAAACCACAATGTTCCTAATAGGTAGGTCATATGGCCAAAAAAACAAAAAAGAGCCACAGAATTAAATGTCATTAAATAGATCTAACAGATATTTATATTATTCCACCTAAATGCCCAAGAAGATACATTCTACTCAGAAGCACGCAGAAGCTCCCCTAAAGTAGAGTGTATGCTGGTACACAAAGAAAACCTTAAGAAATACAGAAAGTTGAAATAATGCCATGTATCCTATCTGACTATTGTATAATAAAACTTAAAGTTGAAGGCAAATAAAACTGTAGTATGCATATAAACTCATGGAGATTAAACAACTCTTTATTGAGTGGATCAAAGAGGAAATCAAGAAAGAAAAACAATCCTCAACTGAATGAAAATAGAAACACAACACAACAAAACTTCTGTGACAGTTCTAAGAGGGCAGTTCATAGACCTAAGTGCCTACATTGAAAAGGCACGATGAAAAATAAATGACTTAATGATGCCATTCAAGAATTTGGAAAAACAGCTACCAAACCTCAAGCAGTAGATGGCAAGAAATAATAAATAAAAATTAAAGCAGAGATGAATGAACTAGAAATAAAGAAACACTGTAGAGAATCAATGAATACAGAGAATCTAAGAGATGATTTTTAAAGACAAACATGATCAACAGATCCTCTCATCAAAGGAGTGTCTCTTTATAGCACACAGAGACCATCGCCACAATCTACAAGAAGACACAAAGCAGAGATCAACAGAAATCATGGAGCCCCATCCTAATGGATTCATCTACATCACAACTCCAGCATCTATGGCTCAGGGAACATCACAGAAGAGGCCATTAGAAAGACTAAGAGTCTGGAAGTCTGCTGTGAAACAATCTCTCATAGAAATGGCTGTGTAAACAAGATCTGAACAAAGGCAATCTCAAAAGACATGCTAACAAAGAAGAGGTGAGGGGCTTTCAGAGGATCATGCTCCTGGGTAAGGAACTATAGGAAACTAATGACTGCTAAGACAGGGAGAGTTAGTATCGCTCAGGGATGAGCCCCCTAATTGGTTGTCCAATGAAACTGTAGTCAGTACTGAAACCATATAAACACAACAATAAAACTGAACTCAGTAGGTTGTAGTTATACATACATACATAAACATGCATGTGCGTGCATGCCAGTTTTTTAACAATAATTATAAGGGGAAAAGAGACTATCAATTTGAGACTGGGGAGGACATGGAAGAAGCTGGAGTGTGGAGATGCTGGAGGGAAGAAAGGGAAAAGGGAAAGCGACCTAATTATACTTTGATTAAAATGTATAAAAATGAAAAAAATCATTTAAATTATATACTTAGGAAAGGAAATCAGAAAATGAGTAAATATTGGGTTTTGGTCTACTGATACAAATCATGCTTTCAGTGACATCTCTAAAAAAGCAATCATGGTCACTTATTGCAATGCGTTCATTATTAATGTGAAGTAAAAGTGCATTTTTCATTATTCATTATTAATATGAAGTAAAAGTGCATTTTTAACAGAAGTATAATATGTAGGGATGGCTGAAAAGAAGTTAAGAGCACTTGTTGCTCTTGGAGAGGACCTGGGTTCAGTTCCCAGAACGTATGTGGTGTTTTACAGTCATCTATAACTCCATCTTCTCATTCCCACAAGCACCAGACGTGCACATGGTATACATACATACATGCAAAGCAAAACACTCACACATAAAACAGAATAAATTAGAAAAATAAAGAATTTTAATACAGTGTAGGGTGATGACTATTAAGGAAATATACAACATGTTAACATTTTCTGAAAGAAAAGCTTATTCAGAACACTAACTGTTCTGGGGGCTAGACAAAGGCAGAAGGCTTGTCATCTCAACATGCTCATTTAAGAATATTTTTAGATCCAAGTATACATTTCCAGTGCAAAACTGATACACTTTAGACAGCTCAGTTTTATCCAACTAATTTCTTAAATAATTTTTACTTCAATAGACACTTGGATTTTAAAACTGTTGAGGCGAGGGGCTAGAGAAAGGAAAGGATAGGGGGAAGTGATGTGATTATATTTCAATTAAAATGTATTTAAGAAATTAAAACTCCTCTTTGAGGATGTAGGGTAAGGGGAACCCTCATCCACTGGTGGTGGGAGTGGAAACTTGTACAGCCACTAGGGAACGCAGTGCGGCAGTTCTTCCGGAACCTGAGAATAGATGTACCCTAAAATCCCGCTATACCACTCATGGGCATGTTCCCAAATGATACTCTCTTACAGAAAATCAGAACATTCTTACTCCAATCTTTCTAAGGAAGGACTATGGAGAATGAAACTGAAGAGGACTTACCTACAAAGACACTGTGTTGACTTGAGAATAGTGAGTCCTCATACTCCAAAATTATACTCCTTCTGCCATGTACAGAAATGGTGGTAATAAAGTTATTATTTTAATATTGATAGGAAAACATTGATCAATATATTAAATTCTTGAGTATTAAAAAGTGTCAGAGATTTTGCCAGAACATATTGCTATACCTTTTAAGTTCATAAACTCTAAACCTTTTTATAGTTTCTCACTGAAGAAGGAAAGGATAAAGTGAAATGTCCAGTCATTGGCAACATAGTTCAAACCATCCAGATTATCTTGACAGGATGAAAGGTACCCTGATAGTAGAAGGATTCCTACATCTCCCTGTTCTGAGACAGTGTTTCTCTTAGGCTCCAAATCTCAGAATTTACTACTTGAGTACACCAGGTTGCTATGAAAATTTCACCACCTAAAAATATGCACACAAGTAGTAAATCAGTGTATAATTTTCTTCTCAATCTTGAACTGTTTAGAATCCCAAATGCAACCCACTGTGCATTTCATCAATGGGCCTATTTTCAAATGCTACAAATCTAAGATATTGTTATTAGTGAAGCAAAGAGTTAGCCTCAGGTAAGAACACTAATGAATGCCAAGACATTGTTTGGTCATTGCTGTTCTTCCATTACTCAACAATGAAGTACTAAGGTAGCTGAGTTTTGTCATATTGATCCTGAGTCTCTATGCTAATCCTCAACTGACACAGAAGACAGAATCATTTTTCATACATGCATAAGCGTACTAATGAGATGTCATGGGACTTAGCTATTAAATATGGTTAATAGAATTTAGATTCAGAGAATCGTACTCAGTTTCTTCCTTCTGGGGCAAATTTGGAAAATATTCTGAATTCTTGAGGCACAGACTCAAAAGTGTCTTGAGAAATGATCCTCAATATGGAAAAGGCACTTGGTAGACTAATCATGTCCTGTCACCTTCCCTGAGAAAGGTGATAGAGATCTGACACAACCACAGTTTGTGCTACAGAGGATAATACAAAGGAACCTTTGCATACAGATTACTACAAACATAGAAAAAAAGCATCTCTGGATTATTTCTGCAAATGTTTGGATACATGTAATAACTTAGTATATCCACAAACCCATTTCATGGCAGACAAGAGACTTCTCCAAAGTCTCTTACTGTGATGATCTTCTACGATACTGGAATGCTTCGAATACATGGTCAAATTCAGTTGCCTAGCAATGATTGTAGGGAAATTTTAGAGTCTGGGCTGTCAGAGTACAGTACTATTGTAATGGGAAAATTTTGAATTTACAAACACATGGGCATATGCACTAGCTCTCAAGACTCCATGACCATTATGATAAAGACTCAGATGACAATCAAGAGGTATAGTCTGATAGTCAAAGTTAATCAGCACCAGACTGAAGGACAGGCTTCATCACATCAAATTCCCATGAACAAATGATTGCTAGGTTCATCATGTCTGCCACGTCTATCTGACATCCATAAGAGATTTGACTTCCTAGGACTTAGGGAACTTGTTACATTGTTGGGCACTCAGGGAGTATGATGGACAAAATATTTCCCAGAGGAAAGTAATAGGATTTTCTGTTAAACTACAAACTTTGAGACTCAAAGAAATAATTAAAAAAATAAAACTCTATACCATGCATGACTGTTATACTGGAATGAAATGGAGGATGCTGGGATCTTCAAAGGTAAAGATCTTAAAGCTATAGAAAAAGAGGCTGGGGTGGCACTCAATAGTAGAACATATGCCCAGTACAATCAGGTCCCTGGGTGTGAATCCCACCATCACCATGACATAAATCAGCCCTGAGATAAAAATCTGCTGCACTCATTGCTACTTCTGACTAATCTATCCTTTTGCTTGCTTCATGGCAGATGGACTTGACTAAAATACCTCCATTCCAAAAGTATTTAAATAATGAAGTCTCGCCTGGTGGAAAATACGTTTGTAAATAATTTGTGCCTAAATTCAGGGCTCATTAGTATCTTAATGTGTATACTTACACTTTGCGCTTTCCTACTGTGGCATACTGCAGTGCGTTCCATCCAAAGATATCCTTTAAGGAGTAATCAACATCTTTCTTCAGTAAAATCTCAACAATATCTTCAGAATCCCATTTAACTGCATACATGAGCGTTGTTCTAGAATGACAGAGACCATTAAATTACTTAAACAGTGAATTTAATATATTTTGCTAATTAAATGTATGGCCTATGTGTGTAGCATTGACCATTTACTAACCATACTTAAGCATCTTGAATGCTCAGAGTTCAGATTTTTAAGTATTATTCAAAGAAAGAAACTTAAAGCAAAGAGTCATCTAACCTATGGTTTAATTTTTATACATTCTAGAAGAAATTAAAATATAAAGCTACTAAGAATTTCATGATGAATCAGTAATTGAATTAATAGTGTTCAATTAGTGTTTTTCAAAAACACTAATATGAAATCTATCAGCTAATATAAGATTATATGACAGACAAAATAAGATTCTAAGTAAGAAAAAAACTTTCATTGTCATAGGGAATATGAACCTGACTATATATTGTTCTTTGCTATAATCATTTCATAAAAAGGATGTTTTTATTATAACTGATGTTTTGTTGATATATCTAGTATATTCCCATATTATATTTTATCTGGGTGATTTTTACCATTCTAGACCACAAGTAGTGTTTTAAAAAGTTGAACACAGTACCTTCGAAAATCATCACATGCATAAACATTTGCACCATGAGCTATTAAATGTTCTGACATGAGGAGTTTCCTTTCTCGGAGTGCTAGCAGCAGAGGGGTGAATCCATCCTGTAATGATATCAGTGAATGATTCACAATACTGAATATTCCATAACTGGACTGAAAACAATATAGCTAGCCCTTGTGAACATAATGTTTACCATAGACTAGAGACCAGTAGTCTTCTCTCCTCAGCCCACTGTGCCTTCTCATGTTTCCAAAGCTCCAACCCTGCCTACAGCTGTCACAAGGCTTCTAGTCCTCTCCAAAACTCATGAGGAACACTTTTGTCTCATGAACCACTGGTTTCTGTCACAGCATTTATCACAGTATTTTGGAGTCCTGTTACTGTTCCCATCAAATGAACGTTTCCTGAAAGTATCTCAAGAGACTCAAATGAAAACACAGTAGCAAAGGTTTTTCAATCCTTTGTTTACATGGATGAGCTAAATTTTCTTCACTATGCTGGAAGTTCTCCTGCATTTCAAAAGACACGTGGCAGATGCACCATTTCCCAACAGAGGAATTTGATTAAGAAGTATGACACCAATGCAGCCACAAACTCTTTGACTTACAATCTGTCCTGCCTACAAGATGCGCTGGGGCAGTGGTGGCAGAGAACATGTGGGAGTGGCCAACCAATGACAGGTAAAATTTGAGACCCAAGCTATAAGAGGGAGCCCATGTCTGACATGGCCTAGATGACCAGAAACCAGAGGCTGAATAGCTCAGACACCTAGGGTAGACCCAAACACAACTGACCCCCTCTACCCGCCCCCCACACACAATCAATGAAATGATTCCTAATTCTGCGATACTCAGAGATCAGTGCCTAGCCCAGACATCATCAGAGAGGTTATCTTGGCAGCTGATCAGAGAGGATATCAAAACCCACAGCCAAACCTTAGGCAGATAGCCCGTGGTGGAGGTCTCTATTGGGCCCTTCCCCCGAAGCTTGGGGAACCCTACAGAAGAGGGGGAGGAGGAATTATGGGAGACCAGAAGAGTTGAGGATCCAGGGAGAGCAAGGCCCAAGGAAATCAATTAAGCAGGGCTCATGGGGGCTCACAGAGACTGAAGCAGCAATCACAGAGCCTGCATGGGTCTGCGCTAGGTCCGGTGCATACATGGTATGGTTGTTGGCTTTGTGTTTTGGGCGGATTTCTGACAGTGGGAGTGGGTGGGTGGGTGTGTGTGACTCTTTTGCATGTTCTTAGAACACTTGCTTCTATTGGGTTGCCTCTCCCAATCTTGATGTGAGGTTTTGTGCCTGGTCTTATTGTATTTTTTGTGCTGTGTTTGGTTGACGTCCTTGAGAGACCTGTTCTTTTCTGGAGACAGACGGGTGGGACAATAAGGTGGTGGCCGGGGTGGCGGCAGTGGTTGGTGGGTGTGGATCTGGTGGAGAGGGCAGGGGAAGGGGGAACTTGGAGGTGTAGAGGGAAAAGAAGTTGTGGTTGGGATGTATTGTATAAAAAGAATAAATAAAAATTAAAAATAAGAATTATGACAAAATTGTGGAATTGTCCAGAATTTGAAAAATGTTTTCTGAAATAATGTTTGGCAAATCTTCTGTGGGGCAAACATTAGCAACAGCAGACATTGTTTAAGAGACACAATCGTCAGAGCCTAGTGATGACATGAAAGTTTCCTGAGGATGCAGGGGAAGCTCTGCCTGATTCTGTGTTGAGGAAACAATGTCACGCTCCTGCTCCAAATAGGTCACTGACAAAATGGACTCAAAATAAGTGAGAACTCAGAGAAACTTTGATTGCTTACCTTGAAATGGATTCTGTCTTTTTATAAAATGAAAACTGCCTTATAGTTTAGAAAGCCTAAAACATGATTTTTAAAAATGTGTTTAGTTTAAATTGTTTGGTAAGTTCCTACATGAGTACTTACATAATTTCTACCCCATCACTTCTCCAATTCCTCCTGTTTCCCCTCATGCTCTCAAATTCATGACCTTTTCTTTATTACTGTACATATGTGTGTATGTACAACCTACTAATTCCATTTAATGTTGGTAATTTCTCTGTCTCTGTATCTGTCTCTCTCTTTCTCATTCACTGTGTGTGTGTATTTAAGTTTGGACATTGGGGTTATTTTCTCTGAATTTGTCAAATGTTAATGGACTAGACATTGTTGATGTAATCATTGCCTATATATTTGTATATAGTTATTGTACTTATTGTATATAGTTTTCCTATGTTAGTTAAAGCCTCTTTTTATTTTAGACAAAAAGAGGAAATGCTGTGATATTTGGTTTGTGCTCTAACAAATAAAGCTTGCCTGAAGATCAGAGGGTAGAGCTAGCACTAGTTAACCATAGAGGTCTGGAGGTCTGTACAGACAGGAGACAGGAAGTGATATGGCTAGGAGGAGAGAGGAAGTGATAAGGCAGGGTGGAGACAGAAGCTTGGCCTTTTTTGGTCTAAAGAGTCAGAGAGGTAAGAGGTGGCTGTGACTGCTCCTTTGCTTCTCTGATCTTTCAGCTTTTACCCCCATATCTGACTCCGGGTTTTTATTAATAAGACAATTAAGATCATGCTTCAATTGTGGCTAGGCTCCCATGGACATTTACTCTCTGAGTTTTGACCAGTAGTGGATTTCTGTTATACTCTCTACCTGCTGAATTCAATCAGCTTTGTGTCTAAGTTCACATTACTGAGTGGCTGTAGTATACTAAAGGTAGTGCATACAGATCCGTGTAACTGAGTGTTTAGTGTAATTCCATCAAGAGAATGAAGGGTGTTGCAGGAGGATCATGGCTTCTAGGTTAGTTTGAGCTAAATAGCGAAATCCTGCTTAGTCTGGGCTAAATAGTGAGATTCTACTTAAGAACCTAAATACTCAAAGTCTATCATGGTTTTAGGATTATCATTATCAGTGAGATTAAAACCATATATTGTAGTATATATACAGTTATGCCACAAGGGGAGAAAAGGCTTTCCCCAAACCCATAACTAATGAAATAACCAGTGCCAGGCAAGGGGACCCTTCTCTGGAGTTATTGGGACTCCCAGAAATTTCCCAAACAATATAAGCTATTACCCCTGCTCTTGGTTGCCTCCTATCACTTGAATGTAGATCTTGTTGCTCAAGACACCTCCTATTTTAGACAAAGGACTGAAAGGAGTCAAGCTGGAACTAACCCAAGGATTCTAGATTCTTCTTCTTCAAGGACTAGCTCTCATACAAAGTGAGAGGATGCTATGAGAGCTGACCAGGGAGTAAACTAATCTTCAGACATCCTGAATTTATATCAAAAGCACTAAGAAATAAGAGTAGTAGACTCAAACACTTGTATAGGCAAAGCAGGTGAAGTGAGGAGATGCTGCTGTGGTTTGTGAGTAAATAAAACACACTTGGATGGTAGATGGCGGAAGTGCCCCCTGCAGGAAACTGTTCAGTCTAGTGGCCTCAATGGAGATAGGATTTGATTTCTTTGGTTTTTTTTTTGTTTTGTTTTGTTTTGTTTTTTTGTTTTTTTGGTTTTTTGAGACAGGGTTTCTCTGTGTAGCTTTGCGCCTTTCCTGGAGCTCACTTGGTAGCCCAGGCTGGCCTCGAACTCACAGAGATCCGCCTGGCTCTGCCTCCCGAGTGCTGGGATTAAAGGCGTGCGCCACCAACGCCCGGCTAAGGATTTGATTTCTTAAGATCAGGAGAAAGTCAGGTTTTTTTTTTTTTTTAATTCTCCTGGAGACTGGGCGTGCACTGGATTTGTGGAGGGTATATATATTTGTGGAGACAGACTTCACTGTCTCCCTAGCCCTTTATTTATTAAAATTTTAACCTTTGCTTCATGCACACATGTCCATCGGTATGTGTGCAACACCAACATTGGTAGTGCAATCTACCATATTGTAACAGACTCTCAAATGTAGTAAAGTCATTGTGGTGGTGATTTTTAACTACCAACAACACCAACTTAGAGTGACCTAGAAAGAGGGTTTTAGTTGAGGGATTGTCTACATCAGTTTGACAAATGGATGTGGCTGTGGGAAATTATCTTGATGGTTAATTGATGAGGTGGACCCAATCCATTGTGCTTGGCACCATAGCCCAGTGTGGGAATAGAACTGTGTAAGATTTTGGAGGGCTAGATAAGTATTAAGCAAACAGGCAGCATGGATTCATTAATTTCTAGCCTTCTTGAGGCTACATAAGACATGAATAGCTGTCTTAAGATCCTGCCTCTGTGATTTTTCCAATAATATACAGTAATCTGAGACTATAAGTCCAATAAACGTCTTTACAAATATTTTCCATGGATGCATAAAACAATATTTCTCTAATATTTCAATAAGTCAACATTTATTTTCTTCCCCACTTAAAATCATTTTTGGAGAGCTCCATACAGTGTATTTTGATCACCTTCACCTGGTTTCCTCAACTACTTCCCAAATCCAACCCACTTCTTTACCCACCCATCTTTCTGTCCTCATTGATATAACCCTCTTCTCAAGTCTCAGAGGTCACTGCAGAAGGTCAGGGGAAAGTCTGCAAGAGCCAGAGGAACTGGATGACCACAAAGAAACAGTGCCTCTTGGCACAACAGAGCAGAGATACATATGAAGTCATAGTCATTGTGAAAACATTCTCAAGAACTGTGCAAGCTCAGGTGACACAAAATTCAGTATAGAGACAGGAATTTGGCACGAAGTTCTGCTCCTTGATGAGGACATATTGACAACTGATAGCTGCTTGAAGGGGATAGTCATTTTTATTTAAAGGTGTGGCCCCTGGTAGGCTGATCATGCTCCAGTGGATGGTATTATAGTATATGGGCTGCACAAATGGGACCCAATGGGTTAGAAAACAAACAGTAATAAAGTATCAATATTCAAATGAATACCAGTCAAATTATTTCAAAGTGCCAGTCAAGAAATACTTGAGCTCCTAAACATGGAAAATTGGCCCTACATATGACATTGCTAAAGTACATAGTTTTCAAATACTCAGGAATTCAATCTGCAAAATCTTTCTTTACCTTTGTAGTTTCTTCAATATTTCCCCCAAATTTAAGAAGAATGGTGACAATATCAGGCCTGTCTACATATACTGCATGATGTAATGCTGTTTCTCCCTTGGAATCTTTAATATTGGGATTTGCTTCGTTATCAAGGAGGACAGAAACAATTTTTGTCTCCCAGCTTTGTACAGCCTGTGGATATTGTGAAAAGGAAAACATCATCAATTCAAAGAATTCAACATAAACGTCCCCCTAACTGCCCACTTCACCATGATTTATATTTAAGTGACATTAATTTTGCTTTCATTCGAACCATTTATATAAAATTCATTCCTGAAATTGAAGACTTTGACCTACCTTCATTAGTGGTGTGGACTTTTGATCATCAAGTTCATTTACGTCGCATTCATTATGTAAGAGGAAATAAACCAGATGCAGGTGACCATAAAAACAGGCAAAGTGGAGTGCGGTTCTGTGGAAATGAGAGATATTTTTAGTGAAACTGTAGGGCATTATGCCAACATACACAGTCACTCATGTATTTGCAAATATTATATAATATTTAAGATCTCTGATCCATAAGCCAATCTTTAATTGTTTCTAAAATTATATGTTTGCTCTTATTATTTACTATATTAGAAAAATTTACTATACAGAGCTTTTGTGGTAGCATGAATAAAACCCGCAGCTCTTGCAGCTAGGTAGCCAAGAGCAGCCATTTTGAACAGAAAGAACATGACTATTGGATTGAACTGCTAATGAATTTGCATCCTGCCCTAGGCTCTATTACCAACCAACTACTTCTCAGCCTTTCTGTGTTGTGATTTCCTTGTCCATAAAGTGGGTCTTAAAAGGAGTACTACTTTCCTGTCAAATTAGGATGTATCAATAAGAACCTCTGCAATGACTCAGAAAATATTCTTGAACAACAGCTAAATATCTGCTAGACATTTAAATTATTAATGTTAACTCTGTAACAAATACATTCCAAGTCAATGTTAGTTCCATTGTATCTATTTTGCAAATATATTAAAAAACTATATATTTCACAGAGTCTAAGATAATATCTTCAAAACTTGAAACATGGTCTGGTTTAAATTTATGCTCCTGGTGCATCAGCCTCCAGGTAGCTGGGATTGTAAATGTGACTCAATACCCAGATTAAGATGCTGTTTTTCTCACATTTTAACTCATTCAAAATTGGAAAAATCATTTACAATTCATAATGTACAACAATGATTGATAATTGTTGTCAATACTTAAAAGCAATTCTTAATACACCAAGTAGAATGTCATCGTGCAATCCATGGTGTCTTACACTGAGATGTGACATATACTCATGACATTTCTAGTCTTTTTTTTTTTTTTTTTTTTTTTTTAATATGAAGTCAGA